GCCTAATTTAATTATAAATTTTAATTCAGAAATATTCGTCTAGTGTTAATCCTAGTAGGCTACGGAGTTTTGATTTTAAACGTTTGTTTAGCCAACAACTACCTGAGGATTTAGTTATTTTACTAGTGCAGTTGATAGTACCTAAATTTTTAATCTTATTATCTAAACTATGTTCGCATTTTGGCTGCTAATATGATAAACCAATCCGTAAACCCAAATACGATTAGCAACAACAACTATGATGAGTTTAATGATAAATGTTAAAGGCGACTCAGATGCTTTCTAAATTTGGAAGACATGAAGATATAGTGCAACGCATGTACAGGCCAGGTTAACAAGCAGGTTGTTGACGTATATGACAATTTAAAAATAATGAACACGACCAGACTGCTTTTGAAACTTCAGACAGGAATATGATGCGTTATAAACATCCCATAAGAAGTTACTGCATTTAACCTAGGGACACTTACAAATATATGGCAAAAGCAACTGGAAAACATATACATGTTAAGTACAAAAAATCATTAAATAAAATAGTTGAACTCGCCTGGATTATTTTTGAAAATTAGATTATTCAGTGGACGACATATATAACGCCATTCGTGAGGAGTAGTAATGATCCAAAAGCATCCAGAATAAAACATACAGTATGGCAATCACTTCCAGGGTGCTTGATGCTGTTGAGGTCTTTGGGACTCGCTCTGATCAGAACAATCGAAAGAATCCAGATAATTGTGTGTGTGCCATCTAAAATGAACTTACGATTGCAGAAAACTTATAGCTGGAACTCACCGTATGTTTTTGGAGTAGTCATCCTCGTTGTTTGGCAATGGAACTCGAGAATATGAAATTAGGCAGGCAGTGGTCGGAAGAAAAGATATTACAGGATAGTGCATCGTTTAAAACAGGATGAGGTGTTAAGTGAAGGAACACTGATAATTAGATCCAGATAACTATTTAGTCCTTGATCGCATTGTTAGTCAATGTATATTTACGCTATTTACAGGTCATATTTGCTAGAGCTTGATGTTTAAACAAGACTATGTCGCTGAAGCACGTAAATGCTATTACAGCTTGTTAACAAATCATCAAAGCTAATTAGTTAATATAGACGACCAGTTTTTATTATCGATTGAGCTAGTTTGTCATGAGGACTAATCAATATAACATTACGATAATATATGTGAGCATTAATCAGAGGACTATTGGAATACAGGGTTAACATAAATATAAAATCGATCGAGAAAGTTGAAGTGGAAATAAGGATTAATAATAATAGGTTGCGTTTCTTTAGTTGGGCTCACCAATGTAGAACTACGGTCTACTATGATATTAGTACTGCTCTAATAATAATCCTAATCCCAAAATTGTAGATTCGTCATGATATAACTGCCTAATCTATAAGATCTTACGTGGAAGTCACACCATTGACTACACCAACTCACTGTATCGTATCAATTACCAATACCTGATGAGGAACAAGGTTAGGATAGAGAAAGAACAATATATTTAATATGAATGAGATATAGGATAATATCCAGCAGGGACCACGCCTGCATGGGCGAGCCATGCCACTTGACCAACTCCAGTCCATTCAATTCATTGTTCGCGCCTTCTCCATTGGTAGGTATTTATCCGCGTTAAATATTGAATATCTATTTTCTGAGTAGTCTTGTGTTCACAGCTTTGTGGATTGTGTGGCTATTGTCCAATGCCACTACAGTTCTACCATAACATATCGATTCTCAGCAGTTGCGGTATACGTACGTAATCTGTCCCAGGAGGTCCATGCGACGCGTTCACTCAATTGTGAATATGGCTAAATCAATTGCGAAATATAAATTCTACTCTTAATTTCATGGACTATACTTAGGCTAACCACATTTGGTAACGGTGACAAAAAAGCCAATTACAAATTCTGTTGGAGTAATCTATTTCAGACACTCATGTGTTCAAGAAGGCTGTAAGAGTGATGATATAGTGAAAGGCTTCACAGACTACTCAAATTCATCGAACATGACTTAGCACTTGTAAGTGATAACTGTAAGTGATAAACAAACATATGAACACACGTACTAAAACAAAAGTACTTGGGATTATAAGTGAACGGTTGACATGTAAGACATATCTGCACAAGCGATATAAAAGCGTCCAATTGTGCGACATTTAACTACATCTTTTGCGTTGTACAAACTTCCTGTTTATCAACATCACTTAGATGTACTCAAAAAACAACAAACGTAGTAAGAAAGACTACACTGTAATGTATGTAAAAGTTTTCTATGATATCACGCAATCAACGAATCGAAATGGTATGTTTCGCGAGCAGAGTTAACAATCAGTGTAAGCTCGTGGAGTATTTCTAAACATTCCTATTGCGTAAAACCAAACCAAAAATGTACAATTACTAAGATTCGTAGAGAAAACGTGCAATGAGGCTACTAAAAGTCTGCTTTCTAGGTCCTCAGCCTTCACTTAGTCTATTTTAAATTTATCTCCAGTTCCGCTTATTTAAGAGGTGCAGTTCCTGGATCACGATTCACAACCTTGAAGTGATCTTCAAAGAATGAGTCGATGCGTCAGTGTAAAAAATCACGACGTAAATATACGTGTGCACTATAGTGCAAGGCGAGTCGAGTAAAGAATGTCAGCTGATTAAATTCGATAGGAGCAGGTTTAACGAAACCAATAGATTTTGTAAGCCGAATCACCTAAGAGCTTAGATTCACATTCAGATAAAAATATAAAGGACCTAGAAGTTATGTCAGAAGTTAAATAGTTGTATATACAACTATTTAACCGCTTTTCCACTGCATTGCAGATATATTTTGGTCTGTTGTTGAAAATAATGGCGACATTTGGGGTTCTGTCAATAAATGGAAAATAGGGGGGTATGTGTGTATTTAGACGAAAAGCGGACAACTCAGGGGACATTTAGGAGGGAAGTAGGCAATTCGGCGGATATTTAGGCGATAAGTCGGTAATTTGTCGACAAAACGGCGAAAAAAGGGAAAATCCGCATTATTTCCCCCGGACAGGCGAAAAAGGCGACATTCTGGCGCGTTTTCCCCTTTATTTTCCCTTTCGCCACCAAAGCATTTACCCCTTTATTTCCCCTTTCTTCGCCTTTATTTTCCCTTTTTGTGTTGTCTGGGATTGCAAGAAAGTCTGTCTGCAACGAATCCAGCGTTATCCTTCACTTCACAACGTATTCCTCATAAAGCAAATATGAGTGTATTGGTCCTCTGAGACTTATTACCAAATGATTGTTACTGACAAGATGTTTTTAAATTTGTAGGTTTATTTTTCTAAACTACTAAACCTAAGCGCTAACTTGGTGTTCCGGAAATTGCAGCACTTAAAACTTGACACTTCTCCTGGCCCGGATATGGTTCATCCTGCCATACTGAGGGAGGCAGCCTCAATCCTGGCAACGCCGCTTAGCGTGATGTTTTCACACTCGCTTAGCCGAGGCAAATTACCGGAAAACTGGAAGTTGGCTCACATCACACCAATTTTCAAAGGTGGTCGACGCAATGAACCTTCAAGTTATCGGCCGGTGGCTCTTCTGTCATTACCTTCAAAACTCATGGAGTCCCTGATATGCGACGGCTTAAATGACTATCTACTGTCCTTAAATTTCTTCTCACCCCAACAGCATGGTTTCAGGAAGGGTTACTCTTGTATAACCAACCTGCTGACTGCGGTGGACAAATGGACAAGCATCCTCGATTGCAAGGGAAAGGTTGACGTCATTTACCTTGATTTCTCAAAAGCTTTTGATAAGGTTAACCACTTGTGTCTTATCAACGAGCTCAAACGACTGGGTATCAAACCACCTCTAATCGATTGGCTTACTTCATACCTAAAAAATCGACACTTTAAGGTTAGGGTTAATTCCACTTTATCTCAGGCTATGGAATGTCCTAGTGGGGTCCCCCAGGGCTCAGTACTAGGGCCTCTTCTCTTCTTGATCTACATAAATGATCTTCCTCAACAGGTAACGTCAGACTTACTACTTTTTGCCGACGACGTGAAACTTTGGAGAGAGATACGCAACCAAGACGATACACAGGCACTTCAGGAGGATCTGACGCGACTTCAAAGTTGGGCAGACGATAACGGACTTACCTTTAACACTTCAAAGTGTAAAGTAGTCCATCTGCGACATGTCGCAAACTACAGTTACAACTTAGGAAACTCCTCTCTAGTAGTATCCCAAGTCGAAAAAGATTTAGGAGTCCTGGTGCCCCATGACTTAAAGTCTTACGCTAACTGTGACAAAAATGCCTTCCGAGCAAACCTTGCACTGGTAACGTTGAAGCGCATTTTTGGCCAGTTTGACGGAAGAACTTTCCACACAATCTTCAATAGTTTCATCCGTCCCCATTTAGAGTACGGAAACATAGTACTCCCCCCCTCACTCCATAAGGACAAAGTCACTTTGGAGCGTATCCAACGGCGAGCCACGAAATCAGTTCGAGGACTCAAATCTAAGCCTTACGAAGAACGCCTCCGTTCACTAGACCTTTACCCACTAGAATATAGGCGTCTTAGAGGTGATTTACTAATGGCTTATAGCACTCTTAACACTTCTGGACATCCTCTTAAACACCTACTTAAGCTCAGTTCGAATAATAACCTAAGGGGTAACACCCAGAAACTGGAAACACAACATAGCAAGACGGAATGTAGACACAACTTCTACTCCTTAAGAGTTGTCAAAAGCTGGAATTCGCTGCCGGCCGAGCTAGTCCAAGCGACTTCTCAGGAGTCCTTCAAGAGGCAACTTGACCTATTCTTAAGGACCAAGGACAGCATCACATTATGATTTACCAATTTATTTTCCTTTTTTATTGTTAACATACCTAGGTTCCTGCCTGGAGGATTTGGTGATCCCCTGCTACTAGACACGGAAGCCTGTTAAGCGAAAGCTTCTTCTATTCCGTCCACAACCATTTGAACCATTTGAACCATTTGAACTTTTCGCTTCAAGATTTACTTAGCGCCAGGTTTGGACTGGAAATATTTGGTGAGAGGTAAATGTCATCTAAATATCCTTCTGCGAAGAAAGGCAACCGCATAAGCTTATGGTTTAAACGCGTTCTACCTGGTAAGAAAATATTTTCGACTTATTTTTTTAAGGACTCCAGCTTAAGACGAGTATATATATTGTTCTTTCGTTCTCACCACTATTTCTACATACATACTACGTTGTTTATAAATATTTTGACTTTGAAAACGACGCATTTTTCCTGTTATTGTCTTCCGTTTCCACATGACTTACTTTACGTAAACGAGGTTGTAGCTGGACGCCACTTTATTATCACAGATCCAGCTGGTTAGCAAGTCATTGGTGGACTCCCATTGTGAGTCAAGAAAATGCACTACCAGAACCTGATAGTAAGCGAGAAACCTACCCTGGCGTGACTGAGAAGAAAAATCTAATATCATCGAATATTATTGTGAGCAAATTGCTGGAGTCAACCGACCCTGACACCAAAATTGGACACGCACATAATTTAGAGAAACTGGGATAATATATATTCATAGTATCTTACCAGATAACTCTAAGGGAGTTCAGGTCAAAAAACTGGTTAGAATAGATAAGAGGACCGAGGAAAATGTTGAACCCCGACCATGCAGACTCCTTAAAGTAATCCTAGGGTCGGCGAAGCAACGGGATCTCCTATTAAGTAGCGCTCGTTGTCACGACAATTCCAACGTCCGAGTTAGACCTGATATGTCTCTCAAAGATAGAATAAAAAGGGAAAAAAGCACTAGCTGAACTAGAAACCCATCGACAAAACGGTCAGGAAGATCTCCGGTTAGTGGGTTTTTGGATAGTCAGGTCTTGGAAGCGAATGCTACCAAGACATGTGTGGATAGGCTGTTCTACCTAGGAGTTTTATATGCCAACGCTCGTAGTATAAGTTCTATAAACTAGAAACGTTAGTGGACAGATTAAGGCCACTCATTGTAGCAGTGACAGAAACTTGGTTAGTCCATGACTTGGACTTAGCTTAGCTGATGACTTTATTTTAAAGCACACTCATCTTTGGAGTGCAAATACTAGATGCTTGATAATAGGAGACTTTAATGCACCTGATATTAGTTGGACTGAGATGACCATGGAAGGATCTATGAACTCCTTTGATAGTAGGATCCTGATAACAGTAATGAAGCACACATTAGTGCATCATGTATCCAAACCCACACGTTTTGGTGCTAACCAAGGTTCTTCTCTGTTGGACTTGGTAATCACTCATGAGACTCAGGGTTGGTTGGGCCACGTGTTACGTATGCCCAAACACCAATTACCACGACATGCAATGCTAACTGGTGTTCGGGATGGTTGGAAGAAAGTTAGGGGCGGCCAAACCAAAACGTGGCATCAGTGCTTGAAGTCACTAACTTCTAGTCTGAGCCATGTTGGTAAATGCAAACCACTTGGTTGGGGTCCGCATGACTATCGTAACCAATGGTTAGAGACTCTTGGTGACATGACTCAGAATCGATCACAATGGAGTCGGTGTATACACTCTCTGTCTTCCCTTAAACCGTGAGATTAAAATTACTTTATACCTTTCTTTCTACCAGCTAATTCTTTCCATATGTACTGTATCCTTGTATGCAATCTTTCTTTTATATATTACCACCACTGAATTAACTACTTCTATGAATTTGATATTCATCTTGTTATGTTAACGAGGTATGGCAACTTGGGTCGATGCATATATGTGCCTGGTCCTATGTTGTAGCTGACTGACGGACTCACGGTATTGTCGACCTAAGTATTCTTCCACCGTTAGTGAATAGCGATCACGCTGTTTTGTCACTCACGTTTAGAACTAGGGACATGTTATACGATCAGGTTACACCCCGCCCAAATGTATGGAAAGCTAACATATCAGCCATTCAGAAATGCGCTGCTAAGACAGATTGGTTTGTAGATAATAGTATTTAAAGGTAAGTTTAGTTTAGTGGGATCCTCGTTCATACCATACCTGGTATCGCGAAGACCGAATAACAGTCCACCATGGAGAACTAAAACAATCAGGAAACTTCTTAGAAGAAGGGAGAAGCACTGGAATACGTTCATCTCTACTAGCTCAGAACAATACAGATCCAGTTATTGTACGATCAGGAATGCCTGTAAAGCGTTAATAAGTAAGACTAGACGATCATATGAAAAACCATTGGTTAGTTTCCAGATATAGTCCGAAACGGTTATTCTCGTATATAAAAAGGCGAACTCAGAGAAGCGATGGAATTCCATCATTTTTGATACAAGAAAATCCGTTAATCTTGGCAGAAAATGATACCGAAAAAGCTGAAGCCTCATCGGAGTGTTTTCTATCAGTAATGAGGAACGATTAACGATTCATTTTGATTGTGGCGGCTCGCTGATGGACCCTGTAGTCATTGAAAAAGGTACTGTTTTAAGGCTACTTCAGCATCTCAAACCTGATAAGTCTAGTGTTCCTGATGATATTCATCCTAGGATTATGAAAGCCATATCGGATGTAATTGCTGAACCATTAGCGGTACTGTCTGACATGTCTCTGAGGCAGTCCAGACTGCCCGGAGACTGGAAAGACGCTATAATAAGTCCGGTTTTTAAGGCTGGGAGTAGGTATTTAGTTAGTAACTATAGACGCGTTAGCTTAACTAGTGCATTTGTAAAACTGATGGAAAAAATTATTCGGATATCTGTTATAAACTATGTTGAAGGGCATAATCTTTTCTCCAGGGAACAACATGGTTTTCAGAGAGGCCTATCATGCTTGACAAATCTTCTCATTGCAATAGAAAATTAGGCTGCTACAAAAGATCGGAATAATCCTGTGGATGTGATCTTCATAGATCTAAGTAAGGCCTTCGATAAGGTCTCCAACTCTGGTCTTAAATTTAAACTGGAACGTTTTGGAACCCATTATCCAGTCGTAGATTGGATAAGTAACTTTCTCCATGACAGGAGATAAAGGGTAAGGGTAAATGGGGCTCTCTCCCCGTGGGTACCTGTAAAAAGTGGAGTTCCCCAAGGTACAATCCTCGGTCCTCTTCTCTTTTTACTTTATGTAAATGAATTACAAACTGTAGCAAAATCATCCGTTCTACTCTTCACTGATGACATATAAATTTGGAGACCCATACACAGTATGTCGGATAGGATAGTATTACAGGGTGATCTTAGCTCATTGGTGGCATGGTTGGGCAAGTGGTCACTAGAAGTAAATCCTAATAAGAATATGGTGATGCAGTTAAATAACTATGATGAATCGTATCACTACACAATATGTGGATTCGTGCTACCCAAAGTAAAAAACTATAAAGATTTAGGAGTCATATTAAGCAGTGATCTCAAAACCACTAGTCACTGTAAGGCTGCTGCTGTGAAAGGCTATAGGGTATTACGGTCTATTCGCAGGTCCTTCCAGTATTTAGATGAAATGTTTAGATTACTATACCCGATTTACGTGCGACCACATTTAGAATATGGGACTCAAGCAGCGAGTCCTTGTTTCAAGTATGAAGCAGATATGTTGGAAAGAGTCCAACGACGAGGTACTAAGATGGTACAAGGTCTATCTGGCCTATCTTATGAAGACAGACTGAGACACCTTAACTTATTTCCGTTATCTTACCGTAGAATACGGGGTGATCTAATATTGGCTTATCGTATACTGAATGATGGCCTTGGTATTAACATGTCTTATCTTTTACTTTCGTCTAGGACTGATCATTTGAGAGGACATTCGAAGAAAGTTCGAAAACCGAGATCAAATCGTTTACGTCTGGAGTTTCGTTTCTCGCACCGAGTAGTGGATTACTGAAATTCCCTACCAGAACACGTAATACCAGCACCTGTTGATATATTCAAAACGAGATTGGACCTCCACAATGTTACAAACTGCAAGGAATAATATAGGTCGATAAAACTCCTATCCTTATTACTGAAAAGTTTCAATTGAAACCTGTTGAAGTTTCCCTCAGAATCCTTCAGTTTTCCAAACTAGTTATGGGGCTTCTATCAGTCTTTCGTTTCATGAGGGGCAGAGCAGAAAAAGTTTCAACTTCATATAATCCCGACAAATCCCTTTAAGACCCATCTACATACTTCTATCTTGACTACGAGTCAGTCTTCAGTAACAAGGATAGGAGGTCCATCGACCTATATTATTCTTTGCAGTTTGTAACACTGTGGAGGTCCAATCTCGTTTTGAATATATCAACAGGTGCTGGTATTACGTGTTCTGGTAGGGAATTTCAGTAATCCACTACTCGGTGCGAGAAACGAAACTCCAGACGTAAACGATTTGATCTCGGTTTTCGAACTTCCTTCGAATGGCTTCGATATCTATTTATCCTCTCCATGCACTAACCAAAAGCGCAGTCTACTAATTCCAATGGACCCAGACATGTAGTTATTTAATGCAAGATATACTTCAATTAGATGTTCGTCATTGATGTTCTGCTATCAACTAAAGTCTACTTGTTTATAAGAAAAATAGAGGACAAATTATGCCAGTTTTCATTGCGTTTGCAGCCAAGTTTGGCATCTGCGTAGTCTACAATAGTATGATTTGGAGAGTAACTATTCAAGGGACCTTTCTGTACGTCAACCTAATCGCCTTAGAGATTCCGCATGTGTCTTTTCTCTAAGCCATTACCAGTAAATCTAGGTCTCATTCCAAAGTAGGATTTTTAGTATACACACCTGCCGTACAAGTGTTACATGAACATTGGTAAATGCTTTCCTCTAAGTTCAGATTTTCCTATAACCCTTGACTGCAAAGGGACAGCTGTTGGTCGTGGTCTCTAATTACTGGCTCGCTTTGACTTCTAAATCATTGTAAGAAGAACTAATTAAACATTCTCACCTGTTCGCTGCTCCTGGTGACAAACGTACCTGAATTCACAATGTCTCACATCAATTTACTAAATTGCCTATATTGATTTCCAAGATATTTTTATCTCTATCCTTTCCTACTTCTCACTATCCAAGTCATCAGTTTTTTTAATCAATTTGCGAATAATACGAAAAATTTGTTTATCACTTCTTTGTACATTCTGCTTCGATGTCAGGTAAGACAAGTGACAGATAAACTT